TGCTGGATGTTTTCCCGGATTGAGGTGCCTGCAGCACAACCAAATACCCGTTTTCTAATCGCCTCGGTACTGACACGCTGACGCCATCCACAACCAGCCGCGCTTCTGAGGCATCGTTGATCGAAAACCTGAAGATGCTTCACATTATCTGTCTCGCACCCATACAACAACGCAGCCCTTACTGTAGCCTGGTACACACGACCCTTAAGATGCAGTGAGATGCCTTTTTGACGCCACAAGTGACGCAAATTAGAAAACGTGACTCGAGCCTTTGAGATTCTTGCACTGACTTCATCAGACACACTTCCTTCAGAGCTAATACAACTACCGAGGTATGTAAAGTTTTCCACAATCTCCTGTCTAGGTGTGGGCGCCCTGGCAGTATCACAGCCCTCGTACAACCATGACATACACAACTAACAATATTCTTGACCACAGGCTGTTCACGCTGGCGACCTTTACAGTTTTTTTTGCTGAGTCTGCAATACTCAAAAGTCCGAACTACCAACATTCTCCTTTACACCGTGCCAAATAAACTGTTTGATTTTAGTCGACAATTAGTCAAACTATGCATACGATGTTTTCCTTTGCTTTGAGTCTTTTGAAAAGCAGTTTTGCAGCTGGAGGCTCTGCTTGACAAAAGGTATATACAACACCAGTACAACTAGCTTTAACATGAGTTCTCGTCTTGCTGATATGCTTCAAAAAAACGAAGGTATTATGCGTTCAAAAGGACGCCTTTCACGAGGCTAGTGTTGGTCATCTATCAGTCCAAGAGGCAGAACCCGGGGTACAGGCCCTCCAGGATGCAACGTATATGTCGAGTGTGAAAGAAAAACCGTACACTATGTCATTTCATCCTGAGGAAAAGGCGGCTCTGATGCAATAGAGAGCCAGGATATACGGTCCGTGTTGCACCTCAGTAGCTGTCTGGGAGAACTTTTTGGATATGGTGGTACTCAATGCCTGAGTTTACTACCAAGGTTTGACAAGCATTGCAATCTAGAGGGCTAGTACACTAACAGGCTATACTACATTAATCAAGCCATTCAGGAGAAAGATGATTACTGTTTGTTTCCTGTGCTACACCCTGACTAAGTACGATGTCGTCACACTGTTGATCAGCTGTTTGTCATCGGATGCTTTAGCCTTCAACTACTAGCTTGGAGGTAGCGAGTTCGAAACACCCATAGAGATTCGTGAGACACACACTTGATGACTCCCAACAAGGATGACGCAATTATGCGGCGCTTTTCATCAATTCACCTTGAGAATTGAAAAATAAAGGAGTGGTTCAAATTCTGTTGCCCAACTATGTAAAGAAGTTGTGCTAAGTTTCATCACGTTTGTTTTTTTTATTATTTGGTTCTTGGAAAGAAACGGTCAGCTGTATCACCTGTTTGGTGCCCAACTGCTATGTTACCCGAAAGAAGCACGTGGGCTGGGATACTGCCAGGTTGACAAAGCCTAGAAAGGGGAAGTCGAGAGGTAAAGGTTGGACCTTTGTTTAATAAATTCGCGCTCTAACCACTTGGAAAGACGCTAAATTCTCCACAAACACATACAGAACGTATACTGAGCCCCCGTTTGTAGCACTAGGGGCAGGCACCTGAAGTATATCACATGGTTGTTGGATGACGCTGGGTTTTCCGGAAAATCAGCTGAAGTGAGTCCGGGACCTGCTTTTCTCGCGTACATCAATGTTTTTCCCGTTTGTTCCAGACCCGTCGAAGCCTTGTCAAGTTGTTCCAACTAGAGCGGTGAATGGACTCACGGTTGATCCGTCATGCAACACGAGACTAGCTTCCTTCTTTGAAGTAGGCAACAAAGTTGAATTTGAAAACGTTTTTTTTAATTTGTCATTCAAGCAAGCGAGTACCTTAAGCTATTTTCGTTTGACTCTCCATCATAACTCGAATCCTTCCATCCTGTCTTTCCTGACCCCGAGCAAATCACCTCCAGCTTGTCAGAACTGTGACCATACTTGAAATTAAGAGTGGCCAAAGCTAGTGAAACTGTTCGTCTTCATAGTGAGCATATTAAGAGAAAGATTAGTGGATTTGGAAACTGTATGGCTTTAACTACGACCACGGCTAACCAAGTATTCCAAATTACACCTGTGTTATTGAGGACGACAGCTACCCTCTCCTTCTATAAGCAATCGGATGAATCCACCTCACACTCATGTCCAAATTGGTATGGCATCAATATATTTAGGTATTATTTCAGTTCTGTTCTGGACTTGCACACAGCGCCTGGCGTCGGGCCTAATGACCGCTACTTAGCCAAGCCACTCAGGCAACAAACCTTTGTTTCTATGAGTTGTCTTCGCCAAGAAGTACGTTGTCCATGGCTAGGAAGGTATCGCAGTTGGCAAACCTTTTGACGAACGAGCAGGTCACTGCATCTTTGGATTACCGAGTTAGCCCTCAATCGAGTGAGGAATGTACTTCTCACACGGTGAATTCGCTGATACTAACCTGCACAAGTTACGGTTCTCATCCCTGTCCACACAAGTCATTTGAGCCTTGCACACGTAAAATGCATCAGCGTGGTATGTCGGTGTGTCCACCGTCTGTTGCTGCTGGGTAGGAACGACTACCGCACGAAAATACAGTATCTCATGTCTTCTTGGGAGTGCCACACGGTAGGTTTCAAGTGACAGACAAAGGCATTTTAGGGGAGATATCCTTCTCCAGAGGTGCCTCTGGGAGGAAACCATGATCGATCAGATAAACACTAGTTTATCCCTGCCAATTCTGAGCAATCAGTATGAATATATACAGATGCCCACAGCGACTAACTGGTTTGACTGCTCGCGAACGACCGACTCAACTTAACCTTGTGGTTAGAGACATTTTTCCAAGTTGGTGTATTTTGCATCGGCTCAAATTCATTTTTGTCGGTTTTATTTGCTGTTTGGATGAATTCAATGTGAGTGCCTTTTAAATTCTACTTCCTTGTTGCGTTTTTCGCCAATTCAGTAGCAGTTTGGCTGTGATAGTTGATGCGTGGTTTTTAATCCTTTTCATGGAGTACGTAAACTAATCACGGTCTATTCTTTTTCAGTCCCAAGTATCTATTTGGAAGTTGGACAGTTTGGAAAAACCAGTAAGTGAGTTTTCTTTGCTCCAGTATCGCTTACGTTCGTCTGAAAGCTACATTTTTTGTATCGTTTACAAGGTCTTATGTGGATGTCATCCACACCAGAAATAGTCAGGTTTCTTCATTACCTGTTGTGTTGTTAGTCAGAGTTTGGGTTACTATTCTATGTGGTATTTGTGAACCACGTCTAAGTCCCAGTCCACCGCCCATCTGGCCTCAAGCAGTTGACTCGAGATTGAACTACTTACATCCGTCAAGGGATGGATAACATAAGCAGGCTGATCATTGAATTCGGTGAGGAAGTGCTGCGGACTGTTTCATAACGCATCTTTGTCGGCGTTTGGAGACGCCCAGTTGTTCCCTCGAAGACCAGTATCTAAATGAATGGCTGACAATCGATCTTATTGCTTTGTCCGTTGAGCTAGCGTTTCGGACCTAACGGTCAATCAGTTAGTCAGGTATCCCCACAGATCCCACAATTTACTATCCACCCGCTTAGCTATGTTCGTAGATAACGGCATCTTATTAAATAGGGGATAGGTAGACAGTGAGGCATTTATCCTTGCTTAATTGTTCTTTATGGGTGCGTATTATGGGGAGTCCGGTACACTTGAAATCCGTGCTGTCTTTGTTTTGTTTGTTCGAAGGTTCTCTTTCGACTGTTGAGCGATTAGCCTAGTCTCATACGTGTTGTGAATGATTGGCACAATTGACTTCGGAAGCCTAGAGCCCATGTGCTTCAGTCCTTGTTGCTATTCTGCTCGTTCGATTATGGTTTCACCGAGTCCATTAGAATACCTGTTGAACGCAATGGCGTACAGATTCACGCTCGTGGGGAATTCAAAGCTCGCCCCTTAGGCTCATACGACGGTGATCCATGCACGCAGATGTTTGGGACCACCACCTTTTGGTTACAGCTTTGAACTACAGTCTACAGACATCGTCTAGTCTTTTTTCCAGGAGATTTGAATCTATTCCATTTTGTTAGTTTTCTAATCACCAACAACTGTTGGAGTACAGCTTTGGCAACCCTGTTCTGAGTTTTATGGGGTCAGAGTTTGCAAGAAGATGTTGTAGCATGCCCAAAACGACCTTAGTCCCCTTTGGTCCCTTCCATTGCATCATGGCCTCTTTTCCGTTTTCCACAGGTCTACACCTTTAATTACTCTTCTCCTGTGTTGCAAGTCAAATGGAGCCCAGTCAGGTAAATTTCCCATAAAATAATGGTTTCGAGTAATCATGTTGTGAATCTAAAAACCTCACAATCGGAAGTTACCCAGTTGTGTTTATGATAGACAGGCCTGCGTTTTCAGTCTCTTTGCTTAACAAAAGCTGTAAGGTCCGATGTGGAATCTCAATAAGCCACAAAATCCATTTGGCTTTTAAACTTTCAAAATTTTCACCGCACCCCAAACGTTTGTCTGAAGTATCAAAGTCTAGTCGTTGAGTGCAATCCTTTTTCTATCGTCTTCTGTTGCACAGCTACCGTAATTTGTTCCCTCCGAGAATCATTTGTAAAAGTACTCTCAGTTCATTCACTTTTTTCCGGCATTCCCGTTTCCAGCTGACATTCGTATGATTGTTTCTGTTTTATACGGCATCTTACTGCATTACCTGAATTGTGTGATACCCTTGTAAAGTAGTGACTTTGTTGGCCCGCTTACTAAGTGGAACACCAGAGCCTGGCACTGAATAGCCTTTCCCCAGAGTATGTGCATTCTTCTAGTGTTTTAACTAAGACCTGCAGGAGCTTCTTGTACGGTGGTTTATATGTTCTGTGGTATTTGTATGCACATTTCAGAGAAGGTTGGCTTGGCGTACTGCTGGAGGATTCTTTTTCAGTCGCACTGTATGACACCTATCCAATGTACCTGCAATCGGTTGAAGAATCAGAACAAGTCATGTTTGAACGCCTTGTATTTCGTAAGTCATTTGCCTAAATTGCTACCATATTGTCGCGGTATGTCATAACACCGCTCTTGGTCAACCAAGTCACATTTTCGTTTCCGGAACGGTTCATTTCCCACTCAGATTCGTTGGAAGACTAGTAAATGGCATCACCTCCTGGGTGTTGCACTTTGTCTCGAACGCATTCAGTTACTACAATTCGTCATTCGACCGCTTTGTGTATCATCTGATCCGCCTGGGCTCGAGAGTGTTGCATCCACATGAAGAATGATTCTTCAAAAGTGGTCTTCCGCATTTTAGACTCGTTTCATTGTGCGTGGGAAGAGTGGTTTGGGTAAAGCCCAGACATCCTCTCCTTAACTGCAGTATTTCTCTGTCCACTGGATTTCCATCGTGCTCAAGGGGTTGTTGGCAAACGCCCGTTAGTGATAACTTCTATGGTACCACATTCATTCTCCATCTCCACTTGTTTCCCCGAAAAACGTTTTCCGCATTAAATTTGAGACCTCTTATAAGGATCTCGCTCTGAGGCGAGCCACTATGCTTTCGTTGACACTTGTACAGATCAGTAACACCATTCCTCCATACCCTTTCTGTATCATCAGCGTCTGGTGGACCAAACACCGCCGTTATGTCTTTCAGTTGGCATCCAACCATCCCCGACTGTTTAATAACACTGGATCGAGATGGATGCCTCGACGTCGCGCAACTGGTAGAACGGACAACGATTGTGAGTAGCTTGATGTGTTCATTATCCCACAAAGAAAAGGTGGGGTCTTGTATTTCATTAATTTTACAGTACTTGTGATCAGTTGGAAAACACCGCGCCTGGTGTTAGAAGATTTAATCTGGATGGATCGATCATTGTTACAAAGCCGTCGATTGGCTTTCGATCTCGCAGTCTCTCAAGTCCTGAGCTACTGGTCGGGACCTGGGCCTTCTGTAAAACGCTAGCTTTATGCCGCCCTAACCTCATTGTTTGCTTTTGCGCAGTGGTTTTCATCCAGTGGGTTGGGTTTAATTATCCTTCTCCTTGTAGGTACATGTTATCACCCTTTTATTAAGAGCAATGTTGTTGGCGTAGGCTGATCATTTCAAGATGACACTGGTTGTAACGGTCCGATCGTTGATGACCCTTGTGCATCAACCTGCTAAACTCAGTTAACAACCGAACGACGAAAGGCTTTAAACCGTTTTTATTTATATTGGCTTTTTACTATTTGGATTTTGTTGTTTTAACCTTTATTAGAACCGAAGAGCGAAAACTAAGCTGTCATGTGATTTTCACCGTAACCAGTCGACCTCAAGTGCACCGTGCTCTGCCAGCCGTTTTGCGCACGATTCTGTTGATTGTTGGAATTGTTGTTAACCTTCGCCTATCCAGAAGCCCCAACCTTTTTCGAGTGCAGCCATGATTCTAGAAGCACCTATACTCCGTCGCGCCTAGGTCTAACGTAACTCTTTGTGAGTCATTTCACGGTAAGTTGATGAAAGCCTCTGTGCGTTCTTCAGCTCGCGTGCATACCTAAGCAGGGTGCACACACTACTGTTGCTTTCAAATAACGAGAAAATTAGGTGGAAGTGATGAAATTTTGTATAATTTTGTACGGAAACCTAAGCGGACAGTGCAAACGAAGAGGCAAACATCTTTGGACAGGACCCGAGCTCACGAGGACTAGCAAACCAATTAATCTACTGCCGACGCTATACTGCTTCGCGCCACAGTAAATTGCCGAACGATTGCTCAATTGAGAAATACACTCATTTGCAAATCCATTTGGTTTTCACGAGAAACTCAACTGAATCTCTCGTTTATGATATTCTACAACTGAGTATCATAAACGAGACATTCAGTTGAGTCTCTTGTGAAAACCAAATTGATTTGCAAATGAGTGTATTTCTCGAAAACAGTTCAATTTGGGTTCAAGTAGAACATAAAGTTGACGAAAACTCGGGGACTGCCCCTACCCGATGAGCCCCAAGAAGGGCGAATCCGGTCGTGGGTTATATATATATATATATATATATATATATATCGTTCAGCTGTAGCACCCTTTCGGTGCCTAGCTGCCATGCCACCCGAAGGTTGCACGAAGGTTGGGATACAGTCAGGTTGCCCAAGCCTAGACAGAGGAATTCGAGAGGCAGAGGTCGGGTTCGAACCACGGACCTTCCGGTCAGTAAATTCACGCTCTAACCACTTGGGCCATCTCGCCGTGGGCTATCGAAGAGTTTTCAGCAACCTTGTGAGTAGTTTCCTTTATGAGGGTTGCCTAATTGGTTTAACGGTTGATGTCAGTCAGCGTCATTAGTGTGAGTTCCGCTGGTGATGATTAGGCGTTGATATCGCTCAGAAAGCTGATGATCTTCGACTGTCTGAGCGATACTCCATCTCACCCACTGCGAATATCACACAGGGGACTTTGGGAGAGAGAGGCGCTGGTGTGGCCAAACAAATGCATAGATGCGACACTGGGTAGCGTCCGTGGCAGCTCACTTAGTGTGGTGCTCCTCTGGTAATTGTGAGGTCACGGGTTCCAGTTCCCTTCGGGTGACGGTATGTTTGCAATTGAGTTTCCAGTAAAGGCGACCAAATGCCTGGTGCTCAAGGATGTCTCAGCACGAAGTAATAAACCGACTATTTGTAGTATGCACGAATCCATACAGTGTTCTTGCTTGGCACCTACTGATCTCTACCGTAATCCTTGGACTGACTTTTGATTGAATAGTGTCATGGATGGCGTTGAAGTATTAGTGCAGACAAACCTTGTTTGCAGCGATGTCTCACTATTCATGGAAGGCTGAAATGTTACTGCGCTTATAGTCTATATACAGCCGTTTTAAAAGACACCTGGAGACTTTGAAGCTGGCTGTGTCATCTGGAGCGTAAGTACATTAGCCACCCGGAAGAATTCGCTAACACGCGGTAGTACCAACTTTCTTTGTTCGTATCGAATTTATTTCGTGACCATCCATCGCAAATTCGCCAGCATTGTCCAATTACTGCAGTTTTCGATTGCAAATGTTTTTATCCCTTTTATAAACCATTTATATTCGTAGCGGTTAATTTTTCGGGATTGTTTGGTCCCATCATTTTGGGAAGTCCATATCTCCCTCGTTGCATTCTATTCGATAGTTTTCACGAATTTTTCTCGGACTAATAATCTAGTTACACCCATCCTCCAATGGAATGTGCACCTTACAGAAGAACCCATTTTCGCCCGTGCGATCTCACCATAGAACGACAGGACATCTATGAAGAAAACAGATTCAACTGTAGCTAACACACATCTAGTCACCTTGGTGACACTTCCCTCAACTTGACGTATCCCAGCATTGTTTGATCTGACGGGGATGTTTTCAACTGAGTCATGGAACGGTTGATTGTAACGGAACTGGGTTGCCGTAACATTCTTCCGATCTCAGCGACCTGGCAATTTTTAATGTCTTTGATTGCGACAGCGTTCTACTGTACTGTATCTTTCCCATATCTCGTTTAATTTCATGCAGACCTGGTCGACGGAAAATGAATTGACCTGGACCTACAGGGGACACTGGACAACTTGTGGTCCCAACGGAATCAAGTCGAGTCGACCCCCGGAACCTAATTCCAACTCAACCCAACAGTCCGAAAAGATCGCCTTCGAATACTCGGCTTATGCACAATCGGAGGATCCTGATCCTGTGACCGCTTCTCACACCCCTGCTAATCTGACCTTAGGTCCTTACGTTATGAATGATATAGCCCATGTGATGCGTTTTCGCGCGGAATCGGGTTACGGCACTGCGGTAGGTTTTTTGTTTTATCCCCTTTAGTTTATTCACAGAGTGCTCCATTAATAAATTCAGCAATAATGCCCAAAAAGCTGAGATACATGTGTTAGTGAAATGACTCCACCAAATTGTAAAAAAAAACAAGTACATACAGGTTAAGAGAAGAAGGTTAGCTTGGTCCGAACTTCCGTACTAGGACAAGGTGGCTAATCTTTTAATATTTCTGATCTTTTATTTCAAGTTTTCAGTTCGGAAAAATGCAATGGACGCTCCTATGTTTTCGTTTTGGTTTGGGGACGAGATGGCTCAGTGGTTAGTTTGCGAATTTGCAGACGGGAAGGTCCCGTGGTTTGATGTCGATTTCCCTGTCTAGGCTTGGGCAACCGGGCATTATCCCAGCCCTCGTTCTTCCTTACATACAACCAAGTATTCATATTCATAGGATTACAGTGTCCGTTCCTTTAGACCATGTGGATGAAATAGGTTGGTTGGGTTTCTAGAAATTCGGAAGATGTGCGTAGTGCGATAACAAAGGTGCCGAAATTATGTGGCTCTTCACGTTGTCTGTTGTGCGGCGGCAATTCGTTCGTTTCGTGATTAATAACAATAGTAATGGTACCAATAAAGATTATACCGGTCGTGTTATTGCTTTAGAGTAAACCTTTTCAGGAGTTGTAACCATTGTGTATGCACTGCAACCCCCACTAAGAAACTCCTTCGTTTTAGACAATGGTTAACTAAGTATGTTTATGCTATCAGCATATCACCTAAAGCTTCAGGCTTTGAAGGCAGCCGAACTAGGTTCAGTTGCTGTGGGTTTGATCGCTTCTTCGAAAAGTAGGGTGGTGGTAACCAGAGGACTGACCGAATCATTCGGATCTCTAACTAATGAACCCTCATTCTTTAAAAAAAAACGTTATCTACGGTTTCTGTTGTCCAGTTACCCTGTTTTTTTTACTCCCAGTGTGATATTCACGTGCATATGGCCCCAATCGTTCCTCCAACATTCATGATAAGCCGGACCAATGATGAGGGGAAGGGTGATTTCATTGAACGAGATTTTGGCAGAGTTAAATAGTTTTCCGTCAATCGCATTTATGTAGATCGTAGAACGACTTTAAGTGAGGATGTTGGACAGGGTTTATTTGTAATCATATTGTGAGCGATGGTACGGACCAAGTCTGTATAGAGCTCTGCACCCAAGCCTGGGTCGATCTCCCACTTACACCGCATCGCTACAACTTAAGTTGACACGACTGAGGACTCTGCTATACAAGAAGCCACTCGGACGATTCATTCAAGCTGAGTTCATCATCTGGAAAATATGCAACCTCCCCTGGGCTTTCTGAATTTTCCTGCCCCTATGAAATGATGAGATTGTTCGCTGAGATAAACTACATGTGATATACCGGCCTGAAGTTGACGTTTACTGTACTGTATGAGACGAGGGTCCCGGTGTTGAACGGTGCTATCAAACTTACCGAAGGCATCCATTTGTGAGATGGGGATTCCAACTTGCCTGTCATGCTTGTGGTGCAAACTCTTCCCACACTAATACAGCAAAAAATCAAATAACCAGCGGTAACAAATAAGCCACGATTCTTCTTTTTCATAATCTCGGTCGTTTTTTTCGGGATAGATCAGAACATTGTTGACGCACTTTAGATGGACATCTTAGAAGTCCTAACAGGGACACTGTTGTTCTTGAACAGTTTGGCTGTGCTCATGAGTACTGAGGTCAGCTGTGATAACATCATCATTGTCAGCTGTGATAACCGCATACTCGTCGTACAGGGGTTGTAGCTGTCGCAGTTTTCACCGATGATTTGGGAGGGGGGGGTAGGTAGCTGCGTATTGTAGGTGGGAGGTGATAAATTGGTGCATAAATCCAGCACTGTAGGTGGGCTGTCAAGTGGGGAGATTGGGAACGGGGGCATGTATTGAAGGCAATAGCTTGGATGCACGCGCGCCGTTGAAGGCGCGAATGGGCCATGTCTGACAATGTGGACTGTCTCAGGGTCCACATCCAGGAAGAGGGCAGTGACCAGCGCAGCTGAGTTTGCTGGTAATGGCTTTCATACTTCGCTGCCAAGTATTGAGTATTGAGGAGTCGAAATTTACTGAGTTTTCTCACATCTGGCGTCCACCTGAACAGCTGAACACTTGTCTTTGTTTATAATGGTTCACGACTGTTCAGCTGTCGTTTGTTCGCTCATGGCTGATTCACACTTTTGCTTCTCAACCACCACAACAGAAAGACATCTCTTCTTACATCGGTCTGTCAGGAGATGCCACCCAACTTCGAACACTATGGGTGTGGATCAAATGTATCCTTTGAACTCTGATGTTATTAGTAGTGTGGTCCTGTCAATGTAAAATTGCAACAATCTCCGTTCCATGTACTGCCTCTTCCTAAGCTAAATATTCTTTCAGATATTCAGGATTATTTTCCCGAATTTGGTGCCCGATATCGATGTAAGTCGCCACTTTTTTTCTGTTATCTACCCAACCTTGTTGCTGTCTAGTACAGCAAGACTAATAAACTTTCACAGTTCATCTCTTTCTTACATCTAGTGCGAGATGTCCCAAGTGGTTAGAGCGCGAATTTACAGAACCGGAAGGTCCGTGGTTCGAATCCAACCTCTGCCTCTCGACCTTCCCTGTCTAGGCTTGGGCACATTGGCAGTATCCCAGCCCTCATGGTTCTTTCGAGTAGCATGGCAGCTAGGCACTGGAAGGGTGTTACAGCTGAACGAATTTCTTGCATCTGACATAACATGTTGAGTTTTGTTTTGTGCGACGGTCTTTCATAATCTTCATTATGTCCTCCACATTTCAAAACTGAAATTCATTAACTCATCCATTCATTTTCATCCATTTTCACCCGTTTTTGACTACTCTTTCGCCAAAACAGCCTATCCACCTTACGTTTGGCATCTCTCACGTTTGTTGTCGATCTGCTTGCTACCGCTCTGTTCGCGCTCTTCAATCACACGCATCATACAAACTTTTTCCCTGTCTGCAACGTAATGCTGACCATAGTTTTAGCAGTTGTCTTCGACCGGTTGAGCAGTTCCAGTGGGACTACACGTTTGCTCCTACTTAAACTACTATCTTTATTGATAGTATTGGAACGTGGACTATTTCTGCAACCTGGTGGACGTGGTTGTAACTACCGGGCAGTGATGACCGAAGTGATCTTGAAACTGAAGCATTAAGGTTCAGTAAGCTCTAAAGATGCTGCAAAATGGTGTGTGATACATTGTCGCCTCATCGACTGTTCTTTGGGCGACTTTTGGTGGTCGCCTTGTTACTTTTGACATTGTCTTGCTGTAGTAATAAAATGCTCCTTGCTATATCGCTATGGTCCACAGATTTGCTGCAACGAAAAGCTGTATGAACGGTGCATGGTACTGCTATGCTGTTCATTGGGGAGACTGTTTTGTGTTTATCACTCAGAATGGATAATACTTGGACATTTAGAGTAGATCTTGGTTAGATTACACTTTCTTTGTGCTGCTTTTCTCTCGGTCAAATATTGATTAACGAACAATAGACGTGTAAGTCCTAAAATATTGCGGCGTATGGGAATGGAAGAATAAATTGCGCCGGCCGACCTTGGCTTCTAATGTTAGTGGGGATCTTGCGCAGTTACTTGTATATATTCACCAGGATATGCCGGCCAAATGGCCAAGGTACTCCTAGTGAACTGTCCAGGGAAGCTATGGGCAGCTTTGAAGAATCGTGTCGTTCTGAATTTTTTTTCGGGTGACAGTTTGTCGAGTTTGGTCAGCTGAAGCAAATTCCTACTACATGATCAAACTTGTCCCCTGACACTCCTCTGATAAGTCAATGTTTGTACTCTGTGCTGAGGATTTAGTTTTAAGCTCAAAAGCAAAGTTGATCAGATTCCTTCCCGAAAGATGAAACGAATGTGAGCAGTTTGCCTTTCGTTTCGGATGATTTGGCTCTCAACCCGGTTGATTTTCATCGAGCTCCCACTTCTCGTGAACGTCCTGTGTTGCTGTATATCCAGAAGGACTTTCATGTCCTGTCCCTAACTTTTGCTTGACTCTTTCGCGCTTCCGCATCTTTTTTTACTGTAACAGCTGAGACCGACTGCGGATCTGCTGGGCGTTCAAACGGTTTCAAAGAGTCAACCCTACGTGCACGAAGTTTCTTACGTTACGCTGGTGCTTTGGCCATTCTGTCTGGCGAATGCAGCCCTTCCGGAACACCGACCCCGAGCGAAGTGTTATCCTGCTCCGATTGGGAAGGACTGGATACACAACTTCCTTTCCCTCGATATCGCAGCCCAGAAAGGTAAGGACCAGATACAGAGTTGTTTTCTTCATCAAGAGACTGTTCCTAGGTCTCCTGACACAGCTCTTACTCATAACCATCAATCATTTGAATTGGGATTGATTGCCGTATCCCATTTTACATCGCATAGGGAGTTGAAGTCAACTAACTGTGTTGTCTTTTCCGCCAACCCATTCTTACGAAGGAGCTTAATGGTTAGACAACATTTTGATAATGACCGTTTCCGGACATCTTGAAGAAAAGTTAGCATGTCGTGGACAATAGATTGATTGCTTTTAGGTTGCCGCTCTATACCAATATGCCCCTGTTTGCTTGTAGCAACCATGTAGCACGTACTGCACACCGGTTAATGTAATCTCAGTTGCTGCCTGAGCAGATTCTTGTTTAACGTTTCCTCGCCAAACCTAGATATTGTTTTCAAGCCGCTCTATCTCGTCTAGGTCTCACGTTCTCCGATTGTGCATGTGGCGTCTCGACGACACGGTCGACGTTCAGCGACGTGTATTTGAAAGGTAAGTTTACCCTTCTCTCCTCGATTTTGTTAGTTTTATTCTTCCGTAGCAAACGGATGGCCTACTAGTATGTATTCATTTTGTCCTTCCCGGTGCATCAATCGATGTACGGGGGCAGTACAGTTTTTCGCACCATGTAACAACCCTTGCAAAACAGGGATCATAAAAAATTTTGGCACGTCTTCCGAAACCAGACGGAAAGTGAAATGTTAAAGTGAGGGAAGAAATTGTCACTGGTCGAAACCTTCGTATAGAGACTTTTTTGAAAATACTAATACCTGGGTGAAAGCGATCGGTTTCTTTTTTTGTTGAGTAGTCATGTCTCGACTTTTAATCAGCTGTTCTTTATAAACAAATATGGTCGTAAGTTGTTTGAATAAGAGCAGGTCAGGTAGTTTTAGTACAAATTAAACCAAGACACTGTTTCAGCTTAAATTCTTGTTTACTAAACGGAGACTATCCTGTTTCTCGTTATCCCCTTACAATTATTATGCAATGTGATACTAATTTCACTGTAAGTTATTTCTAACCGAAACTCGGTTCTTTCAAGCGTCATCAAATTTGAGATCACCATTGCCTTCATAGCATAGCACGAGTTATTTAACCGCGGCATATTCGAAACGGAATTGTGTCAGAGCGGAATCATTAAGGCAACCAAAACTAGTCAAAAAGTAGCGATGAGGAAGGGGGCAGACAGTGAATGGCAACGCGAAATGAAACCGACCACAGTTCAACTGGATGCTGTGGAACCTTTTACCTTCCTGGCTGGAATCCTCGAGATTCTTGCACGTACTTGGAAGCCCTAAGGAACATGACACGTAACCCATCCCAGTGGGCATAACGCAGTCTCTCCCTAACTTGACTGCGTATTCACAGTTTGCCTGTCGTTTCGTGCCAATCCTGCGTTTTTTGTGCTTCACATTTCACTTTGAGATGATGCCCAAGAGTGTTTATTCATCGCTGTTCAGTGGTGTAAGCATCCTGAGTACCGTCTTCCCTAAAGACAGCACTCTCCTGCCCTAAGTCCTCACCCCTCCTTTCTTTTTACGCTTTACGAACTCAAGCGCCAGTATACACTACTGGTGTGTTGCTGTCAATGGTACTCGCGAAATAAACAGAGCCGAGCGACTCCTTCCCAAACTGAGTTGTTATCAGTGATGTGAATTTCCTCTGGTTCCCCTAGTACTCACGCTTTTTTTTGTAAATTAAGACCCTTTATAAGGAATACTCCGAATTTCCTGTGAGGCTATTGTCGAGCGAGAGGTATAAATTGTTTCCCTGCGCATATGCCGAAAACATCTAAATTTCCGGCACATTTGAGCAGGAGATGGTGACAGAATTAGGAAGCGAATTCAAATAGGTCGGTTTCATTGCTATCGGCGAATTGCTCATAAGATCCGAATCCCCTCATAACCGCTACCGTCAAGTGTTTTTTGCAAGAAGAACTGCTATACGTTTAGCCGAATCTCTTACTTGGCGTTCCGTGCGATATCGACATAACTAATCCAAATACGGTTAAAGTCAGGAAAAGATCGTCACAAAGGGGTTAACGGTAAGAATATAGTTATGTGAACTTGGTCTGTCACTGAACGTAATGTAGATTTATCGTGGTTTGGATATCAGCCATTCGGAGTACAAGCATCGCTATTCGAAAAATCCTTTATCTTATTCCCTTCTTAGCAGTTGTTGTTATTGAATGTTTGAACTTTTATCCACGTAAGGACATCGTAGGAAGCATCGTAGTTTTCTTGAAGAGTGTTTTTGTCGCACGGTTCATTTGTCACACACAGTTTTAATGCCTATTTTTTGGTTATAGCGTGTGTGCTGAAGGTGAATACGGACGTGCTGCGACAATGGCCTTGATAAATTTAAAGTTCAACTGGGCACTGAGCTTCTTGAACCGTGCATCAACAGGTATGTTTTCACCAAATTTAGTTTTCTGGTGGATCTGAAATGTGGCTCTGTTGCACTACTGTCTGGGTGGCTACTTACGTATTGATTCCACTGAAGATCCTAGACTTCTAAAGGGTTCCTGAAGTACGGCATTCCCTGCGGGATGTTGATTATATCTGTGACCACGTCTGATGAATTCTGTCACTATGGTTCCTTCCGTGTGTGAGCCACAACGTTACCACTGCTCCCCCGAAACTCAAAACTAATGTGTTGTGCGCTTTAATGATGGATCAGGTTCGCTTATATCCGATCAACACTAGCTATTTATGGATTATACCAACCGGCTGTACTTTTTTTAAATTAATTTCCGAGTTGACTGTAGGCGATAGTCGTTCAAGATATTCACTTCTGAGCAAACCAGTCACATTTCAACTGATCTTGGTCTGATACAGAATCCGGTCTCGGCTTCTCGTTCCCCCACATTTTTCTCCTTTTAAAATCAGAGGAACAACGTAGACGACATATTAGGGTCCGTCGACAAGCGTTGGGCTATTACGTTCCATGCAGCAAATACTCCTCGGTACTGACCGTTTTCCATCGGTCCCATCGGCGGTCATCAAACGGGAGATTCGCTGTCTTCAGCCTGCACTCCTCACATCCTTATTCAAGGAATTGTCCTGTAAAGGGGTGTCCTAGAAGACAGTCCGAAGGAGTTTTCAACCACTGTGGTTATTGGACACGGGTTCATATGTCACAGTTATTCCGCTACATCATCGTCGTCATCTGAATCGCGGCCGACGACAGCAAGCCAACAGATAGCACTGATCAGTAACTGCAATCTGTTTCGCGACACGACAACATCGCCATTTGTACTGAGGCTGAGATTACGAAGTGGTTGTCTGTAAAAACCATCAGTTCTTGATCATAGTTGTTTGTATATTGCCAATGTTTCTTGCTTAACTTGGCGTCGTCGTTCGAAACTACCCCTCAAGAGATGCCAGAATCTCTTCTCGGGAGGAGCTACTAATGAAAGGAAGAAGGCCTTCGCTGCAGAGTTATTTATTGGAAAATGCCCACTGAACAGTTACAGACTGTCGGACAGGGAAGCAAAACTCTCATATGCATCCGGTTTACAAAAACTGAATATCCATCCTCTCTTTGAACGCGTCTTCCTGAACTTTTCTGGATACTCATTGACTGTTGTTCAAATCCAAGCAAATGCTACAAAGTGACTCCGCAAATTCCGTAGTAGATCTCACTTTTCAAGAGACGCAAAGTGGATTTACGAGAAAACATACTACTCGCATGCCTCCCCATCAGTAGTATCACCGTTACACTAATGTGAACTGAATGACACGTTTTGTGCCAACTGCTTTAAACAGATTTTAATGTTTGTGCAGTGAAGTGAGTTCGTCAGACATTCAATAGCGTTGCGTGTATCCAAAGCTAAATTGTTCGCCAAACTAATTCAGGCTGATTTTCCAAGATAATCTATCCGCGATGCTTGAATTATTAACAATTAGTGATGAAAGTCAGCTAACGAATAGTTATCGTTTCATTGTGACCTTTTCGTTTCTGCAATGTTTGCTTTCTTCCAGCTTGGTAGCAGTGGAAAACTATCCTACCTGGGATATGTCGTGCTAACAATGACGAGTCAGTTTGTATGAATAAGTGGTCGGAGGAGATACGCGTTATTCGCCCATACCCACCCATATAGCCAAAGTATGACCTTCTATCCTTTATGGTATGAATTGACACCATTCCAGGCTGTAGAAGTCTCTCCAGCAACCATCGAATCTCATTACGTTAATTGATGCAACATATTTCTGTCTCTCGATATCGTTTTTCCCTGTATATTTGTGTATCATGTGTATACGTGTATCATATTCATTCGAATCTTCAATAGCACTCCATCTGCCTCCATCAGGACCGAGTGTGAGCAGACACGTGAGAAGCGAGACCTTGGCAAATGAAGAAATTGGACTCGTTGCCCTGGCTCTGGCGGGATTCACTGGTTCTCAGAACGAGCTGTGGCGAGCAACTTGTGCCAACATGTTGAGTCGTTTAGAGAACAGTTACTTACGTGTGATGTTCACTTTCTTGACAAGGCAAGGTGGAGACTTTGATCCCATACTGGTACGTGGGATTTTAATAGTACTCTGTGGTTGTTTGCCAGAACAAGTTGCTGACCACAGCTGAATAATTAGAGTGTGTACATCACTAGTGTCGGTATAATTCGCTTCTCCTGCTTGTAATTCTTCAACATGAGTGTTGTTACCCATTATCGAATTCGCAACAACTTCTCCCCGTCGATTGTCCCTATTCAGGTGCCACACAAAAAGCTAGGATGATTTTCAAACATACTGCATGACTATTATCCTTTTATATATTTTCTGTCTCTTTGAAAGTGAAGGCGTTTCATGACGTCATCCTTACTGTGTTATTTATTATTATTGGGTTTGAGATAGCTCAGTGGTTCCGACGCCAGCTTACGGACCGAAAATTCCGTGGTTCGAACCCATCCTCAGCATCTCGACTGCTCCTATCTAGGCTCGGGCAATCTGGTATTATCCCAGCTCTCGCGCCTCTTGTTGGCATGGTAGCTAGGCGGCGAAAGGGTGCCTCATAGTGAACTGAAGATCTTCCAATTCACTGTTACCTATAACATCATGGTTGACACGAACAATTGCAGTTCATCATCATCACTGTCAGCTGTAATAACCGCGTACTCGTCGTACAGTGGTTGTAGCTGCCGCAGTTTGGTTCACGGATGTTTTGAAGGGAGGTAGGTAGCTGCGCATTGGAGGTGGGAGCTGATAAATTGGTGCATAAATCCACCACTGTCAGTGGGCTGTCAAGTGGGGGGGGGTTGGAAAAGGAGCCATGCATTGAAGGTAATAGCTTGGATGCACGAGCACCATTGAGGGCGCGACTGGGCCATGTCTGACAATGTCTCTAACCATTGATGTGGCCCGTCTCGGGGTCCCCATCCAGGAAGAGGGCAGTGACCAGCGCAGCTGAGTTTGCTGGTAATGGCTTCCATGCTTCGCTGCAAGTCATTGTTTGACCGCCTCTGGTTCTCTTCCACCCTTCACGTGGTTGTGCGAAAAAAGCCTTTCAAGGAGGTCGGTCGACTGGCATACGCACACTTTCAGTTCAGATTGTGTAGGTTGTCGTTAGTCTATTTGTTGAGCTAGGCAGTATGTTCGCAAATGCTGCTCCACCAAGTGTGATGATATCACTGGCCTACCGATGCCCGGATAACAGCCCGACGTCAGGAACTGGTAATGCCACGTAGTAGCAAATTCTTACTTTTCCATTATCTATTCAATATCGATTTTGCCAGAACTGGGTGATCGTTTTCTATAGTCGGGATTTGGTTAGATTGTTACGGCGTACGTCCGCGTACTCAAGCTAGTTTCTGATAGAGTGTACTAGGAATCAAAACGGCGATAGACAAGCTTAGTGAATGGATCACCAATGGGCAAACTTATTGTCGCTTCGTGCTACGACTCAATCCTCTTACACGTTTTTTCTTTACATTTTCGTCTCCTGTTCACATAGTTTCCTATGTTTCGTTTTGTTTTAATTTTTCGACCTGTCTCCCCTCCAACTTGCTGCCATTGTAGAAAAGCGAAGATCTTCGTCTGAGTGACCGCCTTGCGTTTGCATGCCTTTATCTCAACGATACCGAGGTACGTCTACCACGTCGCTTTTTCTACTTGCGCTTTTGGAGAATGATGTGTCATACAGATTGCCTGTTTATTCTCGGGCCATCCGTTTACTTGGTCAAGCGGCTCATGAATAATCAGACCGCTTACCCCAACTCGTTGTCGGTCGTTTCAAGAGAACTGACAATCTTCGAGCCGTCGGCTTGGAATCTAACTCATGCTCTTCACAAGTATGTGAGTTAGCGCTCTATGGGCTCAGCACTTCGAAGCCTCTGGTCCGTATTGGAGCTCATCAGCTAGGGTCGGTCACACATGCGTCTGACTGGCACTTACATGCTCTTGACATCAGGACCACGTATCCACCGATCAGTATCGCACAGCCATCTTGACAACAGTGATTCTCACACTTTCTTGTTCGTTCTGTCTGCAAAAAATCCAGTTGCCCCCGCGTCAGTATAAATAACCAAATTATTGTACTTGCACAGTGTATCTATTCTATTCGGGCTCGAGATGACCTCTGCATCTCGACTGCTCCTTCTAGGTGTGGGCAACCTGAAAGCATCTCGTGCTTCTTTTGGGTTGCATGGCATCTAGGCATCGAAGGGTCGTTACATCTAAACCATGTTTTCCATTCTATTGAAAGCATCTCGTCTTTTGGGTTGCATGGCATCTAGGCATCGAAGGGTCGTTACATCTAAACCATGTTTTCCATTCTATTCCATCCTAAATTACGTCGCGTCAAAACTTTCACATGCTGTCTGAATTCTTGCACTTTCCTCATGATTCTACGCTGAGACTAGCAACAAGTTGCATTGGGTGTCAAATTACCTGAATTGTACTGGGCGCCAATGAGCATGTTAATAGATGGCTGAGGATTTGAACCTCTTTTGCTAAATCTATCTTCAATGCTTCCCACTAAAATTTAAGGTTATTTTTTTCTTGTGCATTTTCTCTAGCTTCTGACCTTCGTCCGGTCATCTTGTGAACGTATGATCCAGGCTGGGCGGTTGGAGGCTGTCCTTCTGACGGGTATCTCATCAACTGAATTCGTTTCACTTATTCAGAGCTACGTGGATGTGACAGGGGATGTCCAAACAGCAGCCATTGTGGGTCTTCAAGCGTGTCAAATGTGCATCTCTAGTGCTTCACATGGTGCCACGACTCAGAGTGAAAGTGGAGGACGCCGAAAATCTGATCTTCCAGCCAGATCATCAGGCGGTTCCGAAGAGAAACGAAGTGTCGGCCCGAGTGTTCGTGCATCGGCGATGGAACATGAGGTTCCACCTTTGATTAAATCGGGTGGACCGCGACTGACTGCTTGGGTTAATTGGTGAGCGGTTGTGTGACGTTTCGCAGACTATCTTCCCATAACTTCATCTCAGTTCGCAGATCCTTCTGATCTCATTCATCCATGAAGATTGTTTCAGGGGACGTTTTTTGCGTTCTGTTCAACATGTCGCCTGTGTAACAAGAATAATGTTTCATTTTTAAGGAGAACTATGTATCCCTTCAAGTAGGGTCGTTCCACCCATGCAAGTTCATCTGGAAAGACCAGTTGCAACTAGCGCAAGCTGTTTATCCGCTGAGGTTTGTTTATCTATTCGTACCCAAGAATGTCCAGACTGGAGTTCTGTGCATGGAAACAACTGCTCTATTTTTATTGGTTAGTTCCAGCTAAACTTTGTGCATTAAACGTACTTTTCCGAATTCAGTTTGTCACATAGAATGGCAAATGCCATTTCCAGCGAATAGTTTTCTAACCGGTGTAAGCTGATCCTGTTTCAGTTCCGGCGCGAATCCCGGGAGAGCATAGTCGTCGAATTTGTGTAGCTATTGAGCTAGTAACCGATTTTAAGCTTTGTCATTTATTGCATCTCATGAGGTTCATGATACGAAGGGCACCTTAGTTACTAGTCTTCTGTACCTCATTTCAGTGGCTGTTTTCCTGGTTGTGCATAACAGATCGTCATCGTGGAATGCCTATTGAATCGAGATCACGCGTCTACTGACCTGCGATCAGCATCGTAGAGAGTAGGCTGACCATGTTCATCGGGGAAGCTGATACTATGCCTACATTCACGTCGGGGGAATTCTTATTGAGTTTTAAAGGCAAGGGCTAATGTTCATCTGTCCAGAGTTTGACTCTCCATTGTTGTACTTTACCCCTACGCCAATTATTACTTCATACTGGAGTGTTTTTCACGTCTCACTGGTTGTTCTGTGCTTTTGATCGACTCAAGATCCCTCCCTTGCTCCTAAACCACTTTTGTGAGTAGTAAATTAGACGCCTAATTCACCTCTTATTCAAAGAACGGAGCTCAGCTCTCTCCAGAACGGTTTACTTTTAGATAATGAGGTTCCAACTACCAGAAAGACATTTTGTGCTCCTTGGAAAGTAAGTGTTTCTCCTTTCTTTTCTTTGTATCCCTATTTTGTCTTTCTGTCGTGTTATTCACATCTGGGAGCATATCCCATGGTAACTGCTGCTGAAGCATTTCTCCCGCATTCATCTTCTGGTTGATAGTAAACGCGCTTGGGAGTTTGCATCATTTTTGAAGGTGTAAATTGGCAAGGAAATCAGTTCTCAGCTCTGAGTTGAGATTCACTCTCGAGAAATCTAGCACGGAGGGAACATCATTTGGGGACAGAAGATAGGCTTGCCTATGTTCATATCATCTCTGTTTTCCTGCGCAAAAATCTATCTCCTTTTTGCTCGGATTCGGTATGCGAAACGTTGCATTCGTCTACTTCTGACAGTGTTTGATGCTGTACCGTGCTCAATCCAAGTCCCGCTTTGTTCAGCCAATAACTACCTCATTATTTTCACTTATTTGGCCAACACTGTTTATTTACAAACAAGCGCTTCGTTTCCTAACGTCTTCCACAATCCTGATGGTTGTTTCCAATGCGGATTGTTGCGTTCTCTGGAATTTTTGACTGTGTTGTCATCGTGAACAGCCTTGACTCAGCTTCAGCTCTCTTGCTTCTACATAATGCAACCCGACTTCTCTTTTGATATTACCCAGCTCTAGTGTAGGCTATATGTTCCGTTTCAGCTGTTCTTCCCCTCTGAACGGTTGGTCACCGCGTTGCAAGAATACCAACCGTCAACATTCCACCAGTACCCTTGCACAGTAGGCCCTGTCTCCCATTTGATAGCAGTTTGGCATTGAATCTGGATGACCGGATTGGAAGTGGGCCTCAGTAATTAGTGTTTCTACTTCTGCTGTTTCAGATTTAAGGGTATTAATACACTAGTAGCAGTTGTAGACCACTAGAGGACTCAGTACCAATATTTAAAACATTGGGTCTTCGTTTAACTGAGACAATAAGAAGACTGTGGTATGTCAACATTGTGCTTTTGTTCCCTCAGTCGTAGTACCAAAATCCATCAATTTTGCATCATAGATAAGGATAAATGGCAATGAATCAGTGGAACGTTGCCAATCGTATCGTGGATCAATCAAGTCTGGTTCCTCAATCTAAGGCAAGCTGATGGCTTATGTCAAGGTCTTTTGTACGCACTGGTATTGATTATTCAACGTGACTTCACTGAAAGCTGACCAAGTTGACATTGTGGAGTAAAGTTCTGAATGCTGTATTGGGGTCAACTGTTTATCCAATGTATAGGATGTGTTCAACGATCGATGAGGTAGGTTTTCGAATCTCGGTTTGTAGCCTATTGGTCGCTTGGTTGGTCACCTGACTCAAGTAATGAGGTAAATGTTGTATTTTCTTAAGCTTCTGTCTGTTCTGCCATTAGATATTTCACCGCAATCTCATCTGAGTTGGTACACAACGTGTGACACAGAGATAGGTTACGAAGCGCATCGGAGATCGACTTGTCTCGTTGATAAGAGCCGTATTAGTTGGGCGGCTGGGTACGTACAACCTGTTACACCACGTACTCCGTGCTGTATGGCTGTGTTGACATTGTATCCCTTAAATTACGGCCTAGTGAAAACCTACCCTTTTACTGAGTACTCAGGTTCCCGGGTGACGTGCTGTGGATGTTGGTCATTTTCTCTGGGTAGCCGTTGGAAGCCAAGTTCCTGATACAATCCGGTTAATATAGAAGCAGATTGGGCGTTTCATGGTTTCATTTCCACCCAGATTTACAACCCACTCAAACCTATCCAAGATCCATAGAGATGAGACTCCTCCAAGACTCACTCCGGCTATGCATGACTCCTCCTACCACAAGTTAACCCGATTGAAAGACAGCCTTCTGGTCATATCTCCAATACTATATCCTACAGACAGTATATATATATATATGTATATATATNTTTTTTTTTCCAGGCCATAATCCCTTCGGGGACTCATACAATCCTTAGTGTACGTAACATCACAAGATGACTGAATCCATTCAGACACGCCGGAAGTGCAATCATTTTGAAAAAATGAGAAGTATGTCCCGCAATTCTTCCCAAGCGAGACAAATGACGAATAGTTTCGTTTGATTCAACTTCAATTGCCAGTGCATAAGACTTGAGAATAGTGCTCAGTACTGCACCATTTCTGTATGTGGACTTGCAGTAAACTAGCTTGAATCCTGACTATACTGGTTAGAAATTCGAGTCATTTTGAACCATTCGTTGTGTTATATCGTCTTTAGTGGCTGGCTTAACACCCATACACAGCAATCCCAAATCAGTAGATATGAAAACACTGTAAGTTAAGAACAGCACTTCAATATCTAAACTAATTGGCAAATCTCTGTGGTATCAAAGACTTGAGCCTTTTGGGTTGATTTATGTTATCTCTGATTACCAGTAAGAGACTGAAGCAAGTTATATTTCAGATCCATAACGCAACAGTACCTCATAAGGTGCTGACATTTCGTTGCCAGATTATCCAGCATGCAGTCTGGATGTTAATCCCGTCGAGAATCTTTGAGGAGGTCTAGCGCTAAGACCGATGACTTTGAAGCTGAATTGCACGGCAGCGGGACGAACTCGATCAAGATGCTATTCGGGCAGTCCTTCAAAGTATACCAAAAAGATGCATCGAGGCCTCTAGAGAAAATGGTCGGAGCACATTGCTCCAATGATTATTGCTTAAATGGCGGTGCCTTATTTTCATCCATTTTTCTATAGTGTTCATTCCATGTCTTTTTCTAGTTTGTATCGAGTCTGATTTCTCAACTTTTTCTAAAAACTGTTCTGTTCAGTCAGCTAGGAGCGGAGACAACTACCTGAGTTGTTATCTTCAAACGCATCCGATTATTTCCGGGTCATATTGAAGCACTGAAGCTCTGACGAATCAGACCATTTAGGCAGACATTCACTTTCTGTGTCCCAGTGTTTGGTTATCTCATCCAAGCTATAACCAAAGTTGATAAGATTGCTGTGCACAAAAGGTTTCATACTATCAGATGGTCACATGGTTTGCGTCCCGGATTTCTTGGTGATACCATCTTTGTAAAAAAGCAAGCAAACAAGTATGTATATATATATATATATATATATATATAATGCGAGGACGAGGAGGCTGTGTTTAGAGTTTGAATTTACTGCCCAGAAAGTCCGTGGTTTTAACTCAATCTCTGTATCT